GCTTTTGGGATTACCTCCTCTAGAAATGCATCTGCAGGCTTGTCTACAAGTGGGGAGCACCCTGGACAATGTTGTGCCAGCAATACCATGGGCTTCAGAGCATCCATCATGATTCCATCCCAGCTGGCAACTCAGCCCCACGCAGCCGCTCTCTGCCCCACAGTGGGATGAGGGAGGGAATCAGAAAAGAGATAAAACCCATTGGTTCAGATAAAGACAGGTTAATAGATGAAGCAAAAGCCAAGCATGAAAGCAAAGCAAAACAAGGAATTCATTCACCACTCCCCATGGCAGGCAGGTGCTCAGCCATCCCCAGGGCTCTGTAACCCAGAACGGTGATTTGGGAAGACAAATGCCATCACTCCAAACATCTCCCCCCCTTCCTCCTTCTCCCCCAGTTTTCTATGCTCAGCATGAAGACATTTAGTCTGGGCTATCCCTGGGTTCTGTTGGAGTCAGCTGCCTTGGCTGTGTCCCCCCTCCTTGGGCAGCCCCAAGACGACTCACTGGTGGGGCTGTAGGAGAGGCAGAAAAGGCCTTGGCTCCATGCAGGTGCTGCTCAGCAGGACCAAAAACATCCTCACCCTGTTTCCAGCACAAATCCAAAATACAGCCCCACACCAGCTACTGTGAAGAAAATTAACTCTTGCCACAGCACAAACAAGGACAGCATCAAATGTTTAGTTCCTACGTTAGCTGAATTGAGCATAAATGCCACCTTTTGGAGGCATCTCTTTTCATTAATTCAGCTGTCAGCACATTCTCTGTCATGTTCGTGGGATGGTGTCTTGTGCTGCCGTTTTAATAGAGATTGGAGGCTCCTGTAATGCAGCAATCCTTGTTAAAAACGCTCGATACTGTGCTTGTTAAGCATTGGAGAAACAGTGGTTTACAGTCACATATTCTCTTAAACAAACAGAGCTCCTGGTGCAGTACATTTGCCTCTCATTCTGGACCATCTACAAAACTGGACAATAAGCAGATTTTTAAATTATCAGCATCTCTGCTTTTCATTGTGCAGACGCTTTAACTGATACCAAATCCTGTCACACACAATACATACATGTGAAATGATAAAAGGCTGTGATATGCACATGCACTATTTCTGTCTATAGCACATGAAAGGCTTTGCAAAAAGGTGAGAAAACATATTTGGGCCCATACTTACGGGCTCATACTAAACTTTGACTTAGGAAAGGCCTTGGTCTAGTGTTGAAGATGTCAACTTGCTTTTCCAAACCTCAGTTCTGCTATTGGCACTGAAGAAATTTCCTTAACTTTATGAAGAAATTTGAAATGATGGATGATAACAAAAGTTCCACAATATTATTAGGATTTCAGGCTACTTCAAGCCTAGAAGGGCTGTAACTAAGCTTTTTCATGTTCTTGTATTTTATGTGCATTGGTTTAGTGCTATGAATCCTAGACAACCTTTAATGAGTTGAACATTCAGTGGTTCAGTTTAGTAAATGAATTTGATGGTTTAGTCTAAGTAACAAGGAAAGGAAAGTTACCAAAAAGCAATCAATTCTTTAGCCAGCACACCAATGGCTTAGTTGACTTCTTCATTATAATTCATAATTCCAGTGTTTCTGCAAACTGGAAATTTTTGGTTTTTTTTCCATCCAGCTGCACTGCTGGAGATTTTAAGCAGCAATATTTACTGATTTTAAATCTGTAGTTAGTAAGTCGGACTAATACCAATTAATAAAACTTATAGTGGTAAGTGCTTGGCCTTGTCTTTAATAAAGACAGCATCTGATGGTTTGTGACATTAGGGAGAGCCTCTTTCCGTGGTATGCTTAAATTTCCCATGGGCCATTTTCAGTGAGGTTGGGACTGGCTTGATCAGAAAACTTAATGGCTTTTTCCATTTCCATTCCCTTTTGCCAATCTGCTCTTTAAAGCTGCTCTTTCATGATGTGTGAATTTCTCTCCATTTGAAGAACTAACATCAGATACAACTGAGAAAGCAGATTTTAGAAATGAGCCATTAGGCAGAGAAGAGGCACTTTTAAGATGCTTGCAAGTTGCACAGCAACCAGAGGAACATATAGTCATTTGATTTCTCAAATGACTTTGACTTTGACTCAAGGGAAAAACAGTTTTGTTCTCCCCTTAGAGCTTTCTATCATATGTGATAAAGAGAAAATGTGTTTATAACATTTTCTTCCTGGAAAAAAAAAAAAGAAAAAGAAAAAAGAGTTGTGCCTCATGTCAGAGAAGCAGGAGTTGTAAATCAGTGCAGAACACATCCAGTAACAGCTCCTGTTTGGGATCTTAAATGAGAAGATAGAGCAGTGTAACCTTCTGTTTCTTCTAGATTTTAAACATAAAGCACTGACTCTTATGAAATCAGAGATTAAAACCCAACCAAACAGCCATCGAGGCTTGATGTTTTTTAGTTTCTGTAGAACTGTTTCTTTAACCTGCCCAGAGAAGCTGTGGCTGCCCCATCCCTGGAAGTGTCCAAGGCCAGGTTGGACGGGGCTTGGAGCAACCTGGGCTGGTGGAAGGTGTCCCTGCCCATGGCAGGGGGTGGCACGAGATGAGCTTTAGGATCCCTTCCAACCCAAACCATTCTGTGATTCTGTGATTTTATAATCACTGTCCCCAAGTGTGGAAATGCTGCAATGACATTTTTCTGATCATTACAAGGTCTTGGCTTTTTCTGAAGACCCTGTCAGCTGTTGCCCACTTTGTGCTGCATGCATGTGCAGGATCACACCCTCCAAATCACACCCTCTTCTGATATTCTTTCCCAAAGCCCTCTGGGACAGAGTGTCATACTTGTATGCTAGATGCAGAAGTCATCAGAAGTTTATTGTTGTAATAACACATAAAAATCCAGCTTCATAAGTGCCAGATAATCCTCTTGGAGATCTTATTTTCAATGCTAATTTGGGTCATTATATATATTTGAACTGCCCAGTCCAAAAGTGGCCTGTCTCTAATACAAAACATCTTGTTGTAATATATAAAATATATTAACAAAATCTAAAAATACTTATAGAAGTGAATGACTTCATCACACTGAGCAACTAATTTTTCCTTTCACTTGACCTTGGTTTAATCACTTTGAACACGGTGGTGACAGTGTTCTGCTCATATAGACTGCTCCAAGAACTGCACTTGAAAGTCTTCCCAATATTGGGCAGCTTTTGTGGTGAATGAATATTTTAAAAATATCAGTGTGTGCTAAAGCTTTTATTAAATTAATGCCTCTTTCACACTGAATCTCTTCTCCTGGTGACTTAAGAGCTACAGGAATGTCTAGGTATCTTTGGACATGACAAGAAGAGCCTTGTACCTGTCTCATAAGTGCACATGGGATGGCTGACTCAGTGTGAGTCACTGAGGGCAGTAGTAATATATATGTTATATATGCTTCTTCTGGAGGCAAAAAATCATACCAATGTGGGGTGGCAAAACAGAAGGACTCTTGTATTCAGTAGCCCTTTTGGTACCACAACATATTCCTTCACAGAGCTGGTTTAAATTGTAGTGGTGAGAGAGTGTTTTGCCTGATAAAACATTCCCTGAGGGCTGTGAAGAGTGTGGTGGCACCACGTGCCTCCAGAGATCCCTTTTAAATACAGGTGAGCCAAGTTCACAGAGAATCACAGAGTCCAGCTCTTGGGTGAGTGGCCCATATGGGGATCAGACCCACCCCGTTGGTGTTAACAGCACCATGCTCTAACCAGCTGAGCTGATCTCAAACGTAGTGAACAGTAGTGTCATCTCCAGGTTACTCCCTGCTTTGAACCTCCTTCATAAGAGGTCTCTTCTCCTTCATCAATGCTGCTACAACTGTTGTGTCCATTGCAAGTGTGATTCTTTCTGATATAGGTATGTCCAATCATACATATATTGCTACAGGAGCATGTTTATCCATAACTCTATCCATGCTAAGCTACTTTTTCTGGTTTAATTACAGCACAGTGAGTGTAACAAGCATCCTCAGAACAATGGCTGAGATTTTCTTTGAATTTCCAGTGCAGATTAGAAATCAAATATGTAAAGAAAAACACAGTTGTCTTGGTCCTGCAGACATCTCTAGTTATCTCTGGGTCTGAAAAGCTTTGGAAACCACAGGGCTGTCCAGGTATAATCAGGAACATAAAGCCTTCTGGCATAGGGCAGAAATATCGTGGCTTGAGTTTGAAATCCCAGAGGCTGTTTGGGGTCAGAACAGTCTGAAGTCGGTGCAACCTGAGCATGTCTGGTGTGGACTCACTGAGATGCAGTAAATCACCATCACAATGCTATTTTTTACAGAGCGAAAGTAAACTCCCAAGTGTCACTCCTGGTGCTGTGATCAAAGATTTCTTTTGGCCTCCACCTAATCTCCTACATTTTAGAGCTGCTCTCTTCCTGAATAGCGAGGCTTGATTACAAATGTGCTGTCCTGCTTCCCAACAGATGTCACCTGGCTACACCTCACATCGCTGCCTCATGCCCAGCCCACACACACATATTGTGGCCTCCTTGCACAGAGCCACGTGCAGCACCCCCCACAATTCTGGAGACATTCTCTCTCTCTCACACACACACCCTCAGAGGTTTACACCTTTTCCCTCCTGCCTCATCTTTTAGTCACTTCTTGAAGATGCTGAAAGTGCTTCGTTTGAGGCAGTCGAAACCTGAAACGCTCTGAAAAGAAACGTGCTCGAACACATGGGAAGAGAAACAGCTTGTAGTAAATTTTCATTGTGTCACTTTTGCACGAGGTTTTTGTGTGGTGAGTGGCTGATCTACATAAGGATGCTTCAAATAGAAAAATAATACTTCTTCTGCGAGAAGAAATCTTAAATCTTATATAGAAAAATGAGAGCGAAATCTGCCTCCTTTCTCCCTTCTGTCTCCAAAATACGCTTTTCCACCCCATAGCTGGCCCTGAACGTATTATGAGGGTTTGTGTGGGCTCTAACACATATGTGAGGGGGAGTGCACATGAAGCACCAATCAGTAATAGTCTTTCTCTCTTTTTTCCTCCTCAGTTTGTTGCTCAGCCAAACTGCCAGCAGCTACTAGCAACACTTTGGTACGATGGTTTTCCAGGGTGGCGGCGGAAACACTGGGCAGTAAAACTGTTGACCTGTGTCACCATTGGCCTGCTGTTTCCCGTGCTGTCCGTGGCGTACCTGATTGCACCGAAGAGCAGGCTGGGACTGTTCATTAAAAAGCCATTTATAAAGTTTATCTGCCACACCGGCTCTTACCTGACCTTCCTCTTCATGCTCCTGCTGGCGTCGCAGCACATCGTCAGGACTGACCTTCACATGCAGGGGCCACCTCCCACCATCGTGGAGTGGATGATCCTGCCCTGGGTTCTAGGTAAATCCAAAACACAACAAAGCTGAGCCACAGTCGCCTGACTGGCACCCGTGGCAACTGTGTGGGGACTCATTCCTGATCTCAGCATCATCAGCATGTGAAGAGATTTGGCAGCCAGCTCCAGAAGCTGCGCAGAACAGCTGGGCTCCTTCTGGAACAACAGATCCTGCTGGCCTAGGGCTCTTCTGCTGTTCTGTTGCCATCTGACTTTCCTTTAGACATGACCCTGAATAAACCGTGGCAGATGCAGCTCTCTCCCTGCTTCCCCCCTGCTCTGTGCAAGGAGAGGGTTAGGAATTAGCTTCTGGGTCACACAGTGTCACCTCTCCTGCTGGTTCAGTTCTGCTGGCTGGTACAGAGCAGCAGGCAGTGCCCAGAGCCTGTCTCTGCTCCTGCCTGCTCCCTGCCTGGCTGCCACAGGCAGTGTGCAGGTACCAGCCCAGTTTATTCCTGGGCTGTCAGACTCCTAAATAACCTACAGGAAGGCGAAAAAGGGAAGATAAATCTCACTCTGTGCTGATAATCACTGACCAAATCAGCATCAAATACTCTAATATAAGCAGGAGAAGGAGAGAGCCCTGATTATAAGAAGGTTAAACATGAGGCTCTTATTCCAGTCTGGCTTGGGCAACCACAGCTGGGAAGTGTCTGTGTCCTGAGGGCAGGATGTACAGGTGAGGTAGGGTGAGATGAGGTGAGTGAGATGAGATGAGATGATGAGATGAGATGGAAGAAGAGCAGACAAGCATAGTTTGATATATTTTTGATGGGACTATTTACCCTTCCAAACTGAGTTCTAACACAACAGCAAGTGGAAACCTGTGGGCTCCATCAGGAGCACAATCTCTCCTCTGATTCAGTGCCCATCCCCCTTGCTGTGCCACAAGCATGTGGCACCACTGTGAGCTGGGTGTTACTGCCAGACCTGCTCAGTGCTGGAGTTCCCACTGCAGGACCTGCCATGGCTCCTGGGAGCTGCCAGAGCCTCAAGTCTCCACGGACATTCAGTGACATGGACAACCACTGGGCATTGGTCTCCACACCTATATAGCTCTCCTCCAGCCTCTCCCTTCCCATACCTGCTGGCTCCCCTCTCCTGGTAGCACCAGGACACAGCTCCTTGTTTCTGTGTTCCTCCTGGTTCTGTGCTGAACAGCCTCAGCTGTTCCCTGTGCCAGACCTGATGCAAAACAAGGAAGGGAAGTAGGATGTTCCCAAATCACTTGGGGTGGTGACCCAGGGCACTGTACTCCTTTCACAGCTCTACCCACAGCCTCATTGTCTGATCAAACTGATTTATGGCATTTGAATGCAGATGTTGGTAGAAACTTCAGAGTAAGCTGAGGAAGTTAAATGTCTTCCCTGAGCTTAGGTGATCACTTTAAATTTGTGCTTAAAATTGAGGGAAATGGCAGGCATGTCAACAAAATTGATTTGCAGATGAAAGAAGGATAATCCACTAAAAAAAAGCACGTCTTACACCTGCCTCCTCTTCTTGAGTTCCTTTGTTTCTGATAAATACAGATATTGTAGGACTGTTTATTAAATGGAGAAATTAGAACAGTTTCACCAGATTCAAAGTTATTATTTACGAAATATTTTCCACTATAAAAGGAGAGAGAACAGACACACACAGCATTGCTGTAACTATAGTAACCAGCAATGATAACTCACTATAAATACAGTGTATGAGTTCTTCAACAGGATCCTTTTCACTGATTTATTTTATTTTATTGTTTTGTGTTCATACAAAGACATGGAGGCAGCTGTAACAAGATTACCTTACTGGCCTTGACATTATGCTTGTCTGACTGCTGACCTGCTGGCTGGCAGCTGAACAGCTCAGATTGATATTTGGGGGTGTGCAGCAGCTCATTTCAATTTTACTTGCTCTTAAATTGAACTTTCAGCTCCTTAAAGTTGAGTTGCAAGTAGCATATCAGTGACCACTGCAGTATCTTGTGGTTAGGTAGGGGCAGCAGTTTGAGAAACTATATTAGTGATAACCTGGAGGTGTATTTTGGGGGGGGGATTTTATGTTTGGTTGGTTGTTGGTTGTTTTTTGTTTTGTTTTCGGTTTTTTTTTGTCTTTTCACACATGTTACAGGTCTTCATTCGAGGATAATATTGGAAACTGGGTAATTCAAAAATACCTGGGGCTCTAAAGACATTCTCAGAAGCATGTAGAGGTTGAAGGAGCCTAGTTGCCATTTACTTTTTAATGGGACTTAGGCTTTCAAAAATACTTAAACAGATCTACAATAAAGGACATACAAGTTACTTAAAATGATAACTGTATGCCAGGTGAGTTTAGCAGAACTTCAGAAACTGCCCCTCACTCCTCCAGCTGCAAGCAGGTGCAGTGAGCACTAGCAGGTGCCAAAAATTGTTACCAGCAGGCATTTCAGAGTTGAGGTGATGGGCTCTGGCTGTATCCTTGGGAACAAATACTCACCTCACAGGACCCCTGGCCACATCTGACATGAGATGAGTCACTGCCAAGGGAGGCAGTGCCAGGCTGCAGTGCCCTTTTTCATGCTGAGTCTTACCTTTTCTCACAAATAATCCCTGTGGGCTTTTTGTTCAGCAAGATGCATAAATACAGTGACTGAGCGGAGAGAATGAATTCACATCTTCCTTCTTTGGTGTGATATTTCCAGGTCAGGGAGGAACTGTACTGGCATGTAGAAGCTGGTACTAGTGTTGCTAGAGAAAGTCAGGAAAAAGTGTCTTAGAGGGGAATGAATTGCTTAGAGTGTCTATGAGAGCAGAAAATCTATTAGAAACAACACCTGATACAGTTGCTGAAATAGTTTATTCACACAGAACAAATTTCAGCTGAGCCAATCCACTCATACTGGTTATAATAAACATATTTCAAGCAGTCTCCTCGTGTGTGTATCTGGAGCTCTGGGTAGGAAACCAATGTCTTTTTCATCTTTCTTTAGACTTCATTCCCCACAGACTTGTAAAATGTCTCATAATCAGCAGCACTATACTTTGTAGAAGGCAGAAGGGATGAGACATTTTTTCCAAGCTGTTAATTTCCAGTTGTCTGGCAGTACATCAGATATGCACAGTGCTTTAATGGGAAATAATGCCTCGTCATGACAATGAATTCTCTGCCTTTCTTTCTACAGGTTTTATCTGGGGAGAAATCAAGGAAATGTGGGATGGTGGATTCAATGAGTATGTACATGACTGGTGGAATCTGATGGATTTTGCAATGAACTCCCTCTATCTTGCAACTATCTCCCTTAAAATTGTCGCCTATGTCAAGGTACAGTAACTTGGAACAGAGAATTTGTAACATGCTTGTGGGAACTGTAGTATGCAGGGTAAAAACTGTACAAATCAAAATTACAGATCAAAGAAAATAGCTGCTTTTCAAGCAGTCCAGTTTTGAAAATTCACCTGGAAAGCTTATTAATTTGTTTGGAGAATGAATGTCCTGCTCATCCCCTTTGATTAAGGAGATTGTTTGGGCACTGGGTAGAAGTTTCCCCACTTTCTGTCCCTTTTGTAGCTACTCAGTTGCCAAAGCTGTTCGTGTTCCATACTGACACTAGGCCTCCTTCAGCCATGTTAGACATAGTGAAAACATGATTTTTAAACAAAATGGAAAACCAAGAATAGGGTCATCTGAAAAAATCTACAGGCAAGATTTATAATCTGTAGTCCTCCAGATCTGTAGATTACTAATCAGAAGTTTGTGAAAGGTCTACTGAGAAAAGCAAGATGGTTGGTAGGAGGCTTCTATCTGATAAAAAGGAGTCAACTTACTCTTCAATACATAAATTATTGGCAGGGAAATGACAAAGGAGCAAGCTGGGGCTTTAACATCCTGTAGATTCTTCTCTGTCATGTTCCATTTGTGCTAGGAGTGCACATCAGAACTCATCCTCAAAAGCACCTTCCACATTTATAAACTTCTGATGCTCCAAATTAGCATATGCATGTGGTTTGAAGCCAGAGGGGGGCCTGAAGCACTTTCCTTCTGTCTCCCTTTTTCAAACACGAGACACAAATGGCATCCTGTAAAATTCCTTATGCAATAGCTCTCTTTGGCTTCAGCTGAGCTTCGTGCTTGGCCTGATTCTTTCCTCGGTGTGAATCAGCAGTAGCTTCACTGCAGTCAGTGTAATTGCTCAGGTGTAAATCAAGCAACTGGATTCTGCTCCTGGGCCACTCACACCCTTTCCAGTTTTGCTGTGCTACTGTGTTGGTTTTGCCCTGGTAGAAGGGCACTACTTCTCGTAGCCAAGCTCCCAGTAATCAGGACGAGCCCTTCCCCAAAGCAACCTTGTTTAGTCCTGCCCAGCATGTATGCAAGCAGAGAGGGAAAGAGGAGAAAATTTCATAAAGCCCGTTGACTCCAAAATGCAAACAGCCCTGCTATGGGGCCTTTGTAAAATCCTGAAGGTTGTGTCTTGGTGAGTCATGTTTTCAAAGGGAAAAGCTTTAAGCTGGTGGTGCTCCCTGAAGAGGCAGCTCTGTAACAGCATCAAAGCAGGAACAGATTATGTCTTTTATTCTCCCAACTTAATTCTTTTATTCAGAACCGGTGAGGAAATTACAGACTTGAAAGGTTGGTCTTTAAACCGCAAACAAAACAAAAAAAAATGATGGAAATTGTAAGATTCAGGAACAAATCTTAAAATGTTAACAGTCTTGTTCTTTCTCACACACAAATTACTAGAGGAGCTGTGTATCCTTGGATTTATACAGTCACATAATAAGATTTAAACTCACAGCCAAACCACAGGCACAAAGGATATACAGCTTTGTTTGTTTACTCTGTAAGAGCTACAGAAACTTGCAGGTTAACTACAAAGACCTATATGCCAGCACACAAAAGAAGGTTAGCAGGAATATATCTATTTGAGCAGAGATCAGACCCTCTTGGATTAAACCTGGCTGGTCTAAGGTCAGCGCCCAATGAGGATCAATGTCAGACAATTCTGAGAGGTCCATAAAATCTGCTACAGGATCAGTTCTGAAACAGATGGCCACAGAAGTTCCCTCCTCACCTGTGTCACTTAGGGGTTGCAGTATGCTCTGAAACATGAGGATTTATAACTTTGATAATGGCTTCAAACCATTTTGCGACACGACTTGTTATTTATAGAACAGCCCTGAGCTGGAAAAGGTTGGGATATATGCCAATATACCATATTCTAACGCTTCTGAGATCTTCAAAGGATTACATGGACATGTAACTTTCTGCCAAATACCAGAAAAACTAAATTGCACACTGGCATTAATGTTTTCCATCCTTGTTTTTACGTGAAGGCTTTTTTCGTGATTTATCTGGCTCCGAGACCTGGCTCTAATATTGTCCAATACCAATTAAATCTTCAGGTTAATTATAGGGTAGAAATACCTTCTTAATCAGTTTTCATTTGCTGCATTGATTTATCATGTAATGAGGAATGGTAAATGTAACAGCCTGATGTAATTTATTTGTACTGTTCTGTGTACATCTCTGCTGTGTTTAATCTTCTGAATAGACACTAAGCTAGGTAACTCCAGCCTTCCCAGACACCCAGCTTCATTAGATAACCCTAATGAAACAGCAGATTTCACTGTTACCTATGAGGCCAGGCTGCTCTGAAGAGACTATTTTCCAAGGAAGGATATACCATCAGTTTGTAAAGGGGCAAAATATGACCCTAACAAGTTGCTTTAAAAATAGGTATGAGGCACAGAAGACCTTTTCACATACCTTTATGTGCAGTCTGTGCTAAACCCTAGCAGAGAGCCCCTGGGCTGCTGTGTCCAGCCAGGCTGCAGAAGAGAATTGGGAATAACTCTGCAAATCTGCTGTCTAATCTTCCTGATCCCACCCACCCACCTCTGCTGCCGGGTAGCCACAAAAAGTTAACATGCCTGCCTGTTTGTAAACATTTTAAGACCCCTCTTAAATCAAGCTAACGGGCTCAGGCCGTGATGTTCACGTAATAAAGAACAGTTTGGAAATGTCAGAAGCAATCCCAGGTCATGCTGAAATGCCTTTGTATCATGTCTCGTCTCCTTCATACAGAGGATTAGTCTGAAATATCAACTTGCTTTTAGCTACGTCCCTGAAAAAATCGGGAGCATATATTGAACCTTCAGATTTAAATAGAAAGTCCCTGAAATCTCGACTGTCAGTGTGATATTGGCAGTATTTCCTTTTAAAAGGTACAAAAATTATTTTAGGGGTCCTAAACACACTGGCTACACTATTAGCTCTATTATTCTGAGTACATTTTGTTATACACGTTAAATGAGCAGAAAAAAATATTAAAAGGACAGTTGTTCCTTGATATTAAATGTCTTTGACTCCAGTATCTGGTGCCAGTGTAGTTAAACCAGAGCAGTTACATTTACAGAACCAGCTCTTTTGTGTTGCCTACTTGCATCTGGATGCACTTTGCTCAGAAAATGCTCCTGCTTTTACAGTTACATTACAAACCCAGTTAATGTTATGGTTGATGCTCTCAGTGTTTCAGCTGTAATTAAGACCTCTGGTTTAGCTCTCTCCTAAAATTGCCATGACAAATTAACTAATAAGAAAATTAATACGAAGAAAGCATTTTGGTTCTGGGCTGTTGGCACTTTTTTTTTTTTTTTTGAGATTACTGGGGAACGAAAGCATCTGATAGCTCATTGCTTTCCTTCTTCCCTCCCTTCTCCCTCCCTCGCATTGTTCCTAGAATGTGCAGTGTTTGGAATGTGCAGTCATATTTAGGAGGCAAAGGAAAAAAAGTAATCGCGAATTTCTCTCTGGATCCTGCTGAAATCTGAACCCCTTTAAATGCTGAAAGAGAAGGAGATTATTTATGAACTCATGGACCTAACAAACCCACATCCAGTGAACTCAAAATTCAAAATTCAGAAAATTTTAAAAAATCTCGAATTTCTAAATTTAGGCTAAGAACGGCCAACACATCTGAAGCCCATATCTCACTCTGTCAGGGGGTCATAATCTAGAAGGCAGTTCATAAGAAGGCATCATTAAACCAAAGTCTCTGCCCTGATCAAGCCAGCTTCAGTCCTGAATCCCGAATGTTAGTCTGACAGTAGCTGAGACATAAAAGTTTTAGAAGTACTTCTTGTGTCACCAGTGCTGGTTAGGATTTACCCATGGAGGGTTTGTTATTAGCAGGTGTGGCTTTTTGAGTTGTCTCTGAGTAATTCCAACATAATTCACTTTTCTTTCTTGTTCTTTCTTTCAGTATAATGGTTCCCGTCCCAGGGAGGAATGGGAAATGTGGCACCCGACCCTCATTGCAGAAGCCCTCTTTGCAATATCCAACATTTTAAGTTCCTTGCGTCTCATATCCCTTTTTACAGCCAATTCCCACCTGGGACCCTTGCAGATCTCTCTGGGACGCATGCTGCTGGACATCCTTAAATTCCTTTTTATCTACTGTCTGGTGCTTCTGGCTTTTGCAAATGGACTGAACCAGCTTTATTTTTATTATGAGACCAGTGCCTCGGAGGAGCCCAACAACTGCAAGGGGATCCGATGTGAGAAACAGAACAATGCCTTCTCCACGTAAGATATTCTTTCCTTTCTGTTCTTAAGACTGACTTCCACTGTCCCCTGCATTACCTGCTTTTGCCTGTTGTCTGTCACTGCACTGAGAGTGCCTTTATTTATTCATCTGCAAATGCCAGGAGAGGGGTTTGACTCTGCAGGAAAGGTGTGAGTTAACTGGGGCAGACATTCTGCTGAGCTCTGCTGTCAGAAAGACTCTTACTTAGGTCTGGAAGTGGGAGACAGTCGTTTTAATTCTGGACCAAGGAGTCCCCTACATGATCCTGCAACTTAAACCTTATTATGACTATGTACAATTTCAGTATATTTGAGAAAAGAAGTATCCTTTTGCCTCAGTAATTTTTTTGTCTAATTCTGGAGGAAGGGAGGCAAAGCTGAACAAAATGTAGAAAACAAGGGATAAACCTAATAAAGAAAGGTATTAATAAATAATGTATATACAGCAAAAACAACAATCTCACCTAGACCATTTTTACATGTCCATGACGTTGCAGGCTTCTCTGATTTCCTTGCAGTGGGCTGAGACTAAAATCCCAGCAAAACCCTTTTTGCTGGGAATGCTGGTACTTTACTGAGATGTTGGCATGGAAATTGCTGTGAGGACAGCTGGCAGAGCTGAAAGAGATAGCACATGCTGAAAAATAACATGAATTGTCTTTCTGATGTATTTGTTTTAATTACTAATAGTAGAAATAATTATAATAATCAGCCCCCACCCAATTGTTCTCGCTGCTTGCACAGTACTTAACTCACAATGGGAAGAGAAATAAATAAAGCACAGTCTAGAAAAAGGCCCATGCCCTACAAACAAGCAAAACAAAACTGTTGTCCACCATTTTATGCTAAATTAAATGAAACTTGTCATGATGCCCGATAATTCTCCACCCTCTGTCAGCTGAAGACTTGGGGTTAAGAAAGGATTTGGGACATATTTGCACTGTTATCAAAAACAGATGATGGCTGAGGCCACATGACTCTGTTGGGAGAGGAAAGGCTCCAGCATTGTCCCGTGGGCTCCCTCCTCAAAGAAGTGTGGGATTTTCATGCCTTCAAGAGCATCATGACCTTAGAACAGGTAGATCAGGCACGTGCCATTTTCCAGTGCAGAGCAGGACCACCAAAGGCCTGATTAATTTTCTCAATTTTCTCAATTTTCCCTTGTCTATCTGGAGGAAGTGGACGAAGCTGCACGGTGCTAATGAGAAACAGAATTAAAGATTTCGGTCTTTTTTTCTGTTTAATTGCTTTGCATGCCCCAGAAATATGTTGTGCTGCCCAGGCAAAGGAAGTAAATAAACAACAAGTAATATTCCTTGATCTATGTCCATATGGATGCAGCAGAGGAAAGAAGGTTTGACAAGCACAGTGTGTGTTAAGGGGCAACTTCTGCCTCAGAAAGGGTCAAACCCACAAAGTTCAGGACCAAATCCTGCCTTTCCCTGGAACTACAGTGAACAGATGCATTCAGTTGAGCATTCTGGTTTGGACTTGTCACCATTGCAAGCCAGTTGTTTTACAGATTTCATCGTGCCAGATTAGTGGAAAACAACAGCAGGATTTGACTCAAAAAAACAACCATCCTCGAGTCTGTGAGGTGTAATGTCTTGGGAGCTAGAAATGATACAGAATTAGCAGATCAGCTTAAATACAGACCACAATTTTCCTCCCCTAACATTCATTTCACCCCCCTGCCAAGGGGAATGTAGCACAGAAAGGAAATTGAGGGGGCTCAGCCTTTGTGGCAAAGGTTTGTGTAAAACAAAATCTCAGTGGGAGGGGATCCATTAGGAGTGAGGTCTCCTGGCAGGGGACAGAACACTCTGCAGGTACTTTTTGTTTGAGACTCGCTTAAGAAATTTATTCAGCGTGTTCTTGAAAGTTTAAATAGTCGTTATTAACACCCCCAGTACCAGCTAACATTTGGCTGTGAGCAAATGCTCAGCATGGGCTGAGTGGCTGGGAAGGAGCAGCTTGCAGATCCAAACACCGTTGAGCTGGGGCAGAGCAAACACGGCTGGAGCCAGTTCAGCCAGGGCTGGTGGTACCCCAAGTTTGCTCTCAGTTCATTCCTAAGGAAGGAATAAATGTAAAGAGGTTTCAGTGAGTGCCCTGTGATTCCCACCAGCATTCCTAGGCAGTCACACAATAAGCTTTTACCAGGGAAGGAAAGAGGATGCCCCTTGTGTGTGCACAGCTTGTGTCAAGTGTGACACCTATTTACTGGCTCATTATTTCCTATTGCTCTCAAAGGGGTGGGCTTAATATTTTCTTGTGAGGAAGCTTTCTGCATTTCAAACACAGATCATGGAAAAGTAATATTCCTTTGTGACAACAACAAGAGGAAGCCATGAATAATTTAAGGTTTTCTGCTTTGGCCCTGCCATCCCTCAGCAGAGTGCCCGCTGCTTAGGCAGAGGACTGGAAAATATGTTCATAGCTGTGATGCTGGCAACTGAAGGAGGAAGAAGAGAGTGAGGAAGAGGAAGAAGGGGTGCAGGAAGTCACACCTTGCTGCCTGCTGTGTCCTCACTGGGGCCATTTCCCCTGGAGTGCAGGTTCCTGTGGCAGAGGGGGGCACTTGCTTTCTCTCAGCTGCCATGGAGAGTGGTGGAGCTTTGAGAATTCTCCTGTTTGGTTAAGGTACAAAATACACTCAGCAGGACGGGACAGTCTCTCAATCACTATTTCCAAAATTCCATTTTTTTTTAAAGCTGCTTCCCAGAGCAGTGTGAGTGCCACCTGAAACACGTACTGTAAAAAGAGATTGTGGATCTGTCCTGTCATTAAACACTAAGGAAAGAGTAACCAAGCCTTGCTGCTGTGCAGAGCTGCAGGAACCAGCATATGTCTTTTTCAAGGGGGACCACATGTCCACATGTAAATATGTTGGCCCAGTCTGGGCCCGAATTATACATTATACATATATACATTATATATATATTAGTTAATATTATGCCTCCAGAGCAATTCATTGATCACATCTAGGACTGATTTCACTTTAATGACAGGAACCTCTGCCTCCCATGAGCCTACAGCCCAAGCAGTACTTCTAATGCTAATAGTAAAAATATTATAAATATTTTGAAAGACAGCTAGTACTCCATCATTTTTAGTAGAGAAAAGTTTAGCATTCTTTGGTTAATCCTTATTTTACCACCTCAGTTATTTTTATTTAATAAATGTACCAAACAGCCCCACGACTTTTGAAAGAAAGAATTTTTGCTTTAAAGAATCTTTATGATTTTGACCAGTGAAAAACATAAGATACATCCACAAAGTACAGAGAAACTAAATCCTCATGTAAGGCATGGGGGTACATGTGAACAGGTGCCTGGAAATGCTGAAAGAACAGATTCCTGGTATGTCAAGTAAAGTATCTGAGTTATTTGTATTGATTTGTCTAGTTGTTGCATTTGAAAATATCTGCTGACCTCAGGCCAAAATGGAAACGCTTAAACTGGCATATAAATGTCATTTTTGGATGATATAAACGTCGTATTTTGGAAAGCCAAAAGAAAGATGCTCAAATAGAGCAATTATTTAGATTGCTGCTTACATATCTGATGTGATTGCAAAAGGTCACTTGTCTGTGGCTGAAGCAAAGAGAGACCTGGTATGATCTCATCAGCACAGTGAGGTTGGGTCTAGTTCATCCATGGAGAGAAAGACTTCAAAAGAAGAAAAAGCTGTTGAGCTGAATGACTGTGATGTCGTTGCTGATCAGGGGTGGCAGGTCCTGCCCAGGGCTCTGCCCTGGATGGGTGGGAGCTGCTGCACCAACCTGCCAGGGTGAGCAGTGGTTTTGGACAGGTGCACTGCAAACAGACTGGGTCACAACAGCTGAAGCAATTGCCAGCTCTCAGCCTATATCAGAGCAAAAGGTGCAAGTGGATGTGATTTCTCACATCTCGTGGTGCCTCATTGTTATGCACTATTTAACTACCATGGTCGTGCTGTACGTGGGGATGGGTTCCCTGAACAGCATCCTGCAGACATGTTAATGATGCAGGCAGTGATTAAACAGGAGAGTTTATAGATAACAGCAGTATCTCAGCATGGCAGTTTTAATTAGAGGGAAAGGGAGCCTTGGGTTTCCTTGGGAGAGTTAGGCTGGTTGCCTCTCACAAGGACACGGACAGGGCTCTTGAACAGGTCACAAATGTTGTTGATGTGACACAATTCCCACTGCATTGGCCAGTGGGTCGCTGTGGCTGGAGCACAGACTGTGCCCAGGGAGGATAAATGGTTGTACTGAGTGGCTGCTCTGTGATGTCTCCCAATACCTGTGGTCCCTACCTGAAGACTGCCTGAACCAGGAGTTGTTTTCCATCCCCCAGCATCAGGTAGCCAAGTAAAGATCTTTTTCTTTGCAGACTTTTCGAGACCCTCCAGTCACTCTTCTGGTCTGTGTTCGGTCTGCTGAACCTCTATGTCACCAACGTGAAAGCCAGGCATGAGTTCACAGAGTTTGTTGGGGCCACCATGTTTGGGACCTACAACGTCATCTCCCTTGTTGTGCTGCTGAACATGCTCATAGCCATGATGAACAACTCCTACCAGCTCATTGCTGTGAGTTATCTCCTTCTGTCTCTTTTTGCTTTTATTTTTCTCTGTGTGCCTCATTTGTTTGACTTACAGCAAGTGTGTACCTTCTGGGATGCTGCAGAGTGCTGCCCCCAGTTTTTGACAGCAGGTACTTGGGATTTCTGCTCACTAGCCTGAATCATGCTTGCGGAGGAGGTTTTGCTCTGTTTGTGGTGCTTCTGAGCTGGAAAAGGCTCATGGGCTGTGATATGCCCCTGTCTCCTCCTGTAGAGTAACTTCACTGACCACCTTGTCCTTAGTAGCTGATTTACACTGTGGTAGAGAGAATATAAAGGGAAACCTTCCCACTGCTTCCTGATGCTTCGTTTTGACTTGAGAGGTGGGTGTTATATTACATTTTTTTATCCTCTTACTGTTTTCTCATGTGAAACTGTGTGTGTCAGGAGCCCAGCCCTGCAATTTCTTTTTCCACAGTGTTCCCACCTGAAATCAGATCATGTCCATCTCTAACACCAGCCAGTCTCCTGGCAGCTGACTCTGCAAACCCATATTCGGAGATTTCTGAGGAATCTCAGTGCAGGATGGATCTGAGCTGAGGCAGCTCAGGGCTGCCAGTTGGCTGTAGAGCCAGTTTGAAACTTAAATTTCATTTGAATGTTGAAAACTGGTTTCTCTACTGTAATCTCATTCTGTGTACTCAAAAGCCAATCTGTACCTTGATGATTAAATTTGTCAGCAGATTGAAAGCTAAAGCAGCATGGCTCTACATTTTAAGGCTCTTCAGGTCAGAAGCAGCATGGAAGGAAGTGAAATCTTATGTGCACAGTACTTCAGGTAAACCACTTGACACTTGCTTTCCAGTTCTGACCCCTAACACGGTAGGTTTGGACATAGTGAGGTGATGAGCTCTTACATCATCTGTGAACAGAAACAGGAGTTGGGAAAGTCAGGTTTGTCCTCAGCTGGTCATTCAGTACAGGCAGAGTAGAGGCTTGCTCCTCTGCTTTAGGTGACTCTTTTTTTTTAACTCTAGAGAATGGAGGATAAACCAGAAAAAAACCAGAAGCAGCACCAGCTGTCCTGCTATTTCCATTCCCAAATTCCTGGACAAGTCTCTGGGGAAATGTGTGGGTGAGCTCCTATCCTGGCTAAAACACACAGAGCTGAGTATTGAGTTGTGCTTGAACAGGTTCCACAACTGTTGTTGATCATCTCCTGATTCAAGTGGCTCCTAAATTCACTTAATCAAACTGAGCACAGACTCATCAAATCGGTGATACTTTTGGACATCTGATCTTTATCATATTAGTAAGTATGAGAAAAACTGGACTTTCCAGATGAGCAGAAAAGCAGTTTATCACAAAGACATTGCTGCTTTATCAGTCTGTTTCAATGCTCTAAGTGCCTTCTCTTTGTTAAGTGCTACTCCTCACATTCCAGGGAGACTGGAATGAGGGACAGAAAACAGAGATTCTCTCCTTGGCCATTTCCTTCCATTCCCCTTCCTTTATTGTCATCAAATAGGCTTGTCACTAAGACAAAGCCCAAACCTAAGACTGACATAAGAATAGCAGTATTTGCTATTCACTGGGATACAAACCACTCATCATTCTTTTCCCTGAATAATTCGAGTGATGCAATGACACATTACAAACAACCCCGCATGAATTAGAGACCCATCATAACAATTAACTGAAGTGATTGGTCCAGAGAGGGCTTTTGTATTAATGGGTTTGTGCATGGAGCAGCTGGGAGCAGTGACTTGCTCCATCAAAGTCTGCACCTGAGAGACCTGGGGATAGAGGACTGAACTCAGCAGATAACTGAGGTATCACAGTTCAGCTGCAGCACGAGCCCCTGCTCAGGAGAATGATAGTGAAAATGCTGCAGGATGCTTCTTCATCACTTCAGCTGTCACATTGCAGTTGCTACCAAGAGCAGTGACATTTCTTGGGAAGGCAAGAGGCAGTCACTTCCTATCTCTTCTCGTGCAGTGCATGCAGCTGGGTTTTTGAAGCTAAATTTCTGCGTGCATTCTCTCGGGGACAAATTTTCTTCATGTGTCTTCCAAGGGCAAACATCAATTAATCTCTTCCCCAAAGAAAACAAGTCGTTAATAAATGTTGAGCTTTAAAAATGTGGGTTATTTTTTAGCCTCCTGTAATGATGTTCACCTCTTTCTGAATCACAGCAGACTGGTTCCTAGACTGGGCATTTCTTCCTCCTGGTATTGATATTACACTGAATATGCACAGAATGACACATTCCAGGTTGGGAGGAGGGGAAGAAGCCCTTGGGGTGGGGTGGAGACCTTCTTCTTCAGTGCATCAGTAGGAAATCTTGTGCCATGTGCAGCACTCTGCAGAGAAATAAAACAAGCTAGACGTGGAGGATGAGCTGGGAGTGCCTCTCTGCTTGCTGATTTCCCTGCAGTGGAGTGGTGAGGACACCTTCATTAATTCTGCTTGCTAATGAGCCAGTGGCACTGCTGCAGTGCAAACTTTCTCCCCTCCTTTCTTCCAGGGACAGATACACTAATGCATTTGTAGCAGTTATTCTTCAGGTTAGCTTTCCTCCTTTGGCTCATATATACATGAATTTCTGCCGTGAGGTTTGAGACAGGAGAATTTAAGTTGCTCCTCCTTGGCCCTTTGTTGTGTTTCCCCAGTATGGGGGTTTGGGCTTGGTACTTAATTATGCACTGCAGACACAGAGCAGGAAATCACAGGTATCTGTGGAAGACAGAGCAAGGCAGGCAAAGAATAAAACCTCTGCACAGCTTTGAGTGATTCTTGACTCAGAGATGGAAGAATTTTTCTGCCATAATTTTGTTGGTTTTTTTTTCCTAAGCTACTTCAGACTTCAATAAATACGTATTTCTAGGGGTACCCTGAAGCAGTTTCAATATTGATTATTTTCATACAGCCAGTTTTTCTCTTTGGCCAAACATTGTCAGGAGCTGGTTGTGGCAGACAGTATCATTCATCGACAAAGTAAAAAAATCCAAATGCACCCCAAAATCTCCATACACTTCGAGCTGTTTCAGTATGGGAAGATCTAAATGTTTTATACAAGCTGCACAGAATGGAATGGGATGTTATGCACTGCCAGGTCCCTCATCTCAATACCCTCCCAGATGTGACAGAAATACCTGAGGAGGAGGAGGAGGAGTATGTCACGGTGACCAGAGGACAGGGGAATGATGTGAGAGTAGCCAGGTGGCTCCATCATTTGTAAGTGGCAGAAAGTAACTGAGTGGGTGATGAGGGGATGAGGACACTTTATGTGATGGGCTGTTTCTCATCAGAGTGCCACTTGGCTGCATCTGAAGTTTGCCAGTTTGTAATTTTTTCAAAACAATGCAATAGTGGGTGTTACTGGGGGTGCAGGTGCATTTTGGCCATTCTGGTGCCGTCAGGTGCAGGTACATTTTGCAAGGAACTAGCAATCTATGCATGTTTTCTGAAAGCATGCTCCTTATGGACACATCCGTGATATTCTGGGGAGTCACGAGAGAATTAGTCACTGGAACTGTGCCAGCAGTTCTGACTCGGCAGCCACAGGAGCAATCTCGATGGAAGAACAGCAACAAAGACCCAGGTACAGGAGGAAGACCACAGGACTGTGAGCTGGTAACCAGAGCTCAGGTGAGTTGGAGTGATCAGTGGTGCACAGCAGCACTGGCACTGGGCATCCCACCCACATACCAGAGAGATGTAAGCACTTGCAGCTTTCAGATGTTTTAGGAAAGTACAACGATACTTAACACCTCAGGGTACTCACCAACTCACCAAAGTGAGTCTGAGAAAAACGACATCTAGCTCCTGTGTGTGAAGGTGTCACAGCCTCTGGGTGTGATACAGTGAGCACGTGTGGTGTTGGTAATGACTTCACTCTAGCAGTGAGTATTAAGTTATGAAACCGTTTTGTATGTCGTGTTTTGAATCCTCCTCTTGGTTTGTATGTCTGTCATTTCAAGCCAGTTCATGTCAGACAGCTGTTACTGCAAAAGACTTTTAAAGAAAATATTGCTTGGTGGTTTTGCTAAGGAGGAATTTTATGAACCAATAAACTTAGTTCGAGATACACAGCTGGCCAGTCCTTACATGTTTTGGGGTGGTAGGTTGTCCTCATATAGAGGTAAGGCCAGTTCCTCAGTCTGGACTCAAATCTAAGCTATTTTAAAGCATTAGGAAGTGTTCATCTCAGCCCCACTTCAGAACCATTAATTTGAATTTCTTAGAAATCGAAATGTTGATTTTTAACTGTCATACAGCAGGAAATTAAATTATCCTCATGTTATGTTGCCAATACAAGCTGGGATTAATATCTCTTGAAACTTTTCATGGTACTGCAAAGAACTAGATTCTAGAAGGAGGATTAAATGGCTCTTCCTTGGTTTGTCAGCTGAGAGAAATATCCCTCTTTGGCCCTGAGAGCCTCCTGCTGACCAACATATACAAGTGCTGGTCACTACCCACATGCAGACCCTGTATTCAGTCTGCAGGTAACACACTCAGACCTTTTCTTCATTCTGTAATTGCCCAGGTCTCAATTACTGTGCTAAAATTCATCTGTGTCATCAACAATAATTAATTGAAATGGCAAATTCTCTTGCACCAACTTGGTGCCTTTGGTGACACTTGGACAGGCTGATAGGACGAAGGGGAATGGCCTTAAACTGCAGGAGGGGTAGACTGAGATTAGATATTAGCAAACACCTCCCTGGGAGGGTGAGGAGGCCCTGGCACAGGTTGCCCAGAGAAGCTGTGGCTGCCCCTGGATCCCTGGAAGTGTCCAAGGCCAGGTTGGACAGGGCTTGGAGCAACCTGGGCTAGTGGGAGGTGTCCCTGCCCATGATCCAGATGATCCCTGGGGTCCCTTCCAGCCCAAACCATTCCACGCTTCTATGACCTCTGTTACATTTCCCCGTGGAATACGATCCATGTGAAAAAATGCTGGTCCCCTCCTTTCCAGTTCCCTCTTGGGTAGCTGTAGCACACCTTCAGAGGAGTGGGATTGAT